TTTCAGGCAAAATTATGACATAGAAATAAACTACATATAAGAAAAAGACCAAAACGTGGATATAATCGCTGGGAGGTTAAAAGTGAAGAGACTTCAGATATCTTTAATCACGTCTCCAGAAGCAGAAACAGCAGGTTTTTTTTACGCAGAGACAAAGCTTTCATCAGATGGTTTGAGTTCGCGTCCCACCGGCAACGAACACATGATTTAGAGATGACATCATTAGAGTTTGGGGGTGAAGCTTGTAGAACACAGACCACTGCAACCATGAAGCTTAAGCGGAGGTTCAGGATTGTAGACTACCTCCGATATCACACCAGGCTAGACCACTCCTTACTCAGCCTGTCTTAATCAACTCATCAACTCCCTGCAGCCGAGTCAATCAAGCCAGCGTTTAAAGGCAGAGCAGAGCACAGCTCATCAAACGGACTTTCAAGCTGCAACCACCTTCTCCCCACCTCTGCCTCAGGACTCTTTCACACTCTCACTTTCACCGTGCCTTGTTACCACCACCAGTGTCTAGGCTCCGGCCCCGGGGGATCATAATCTACACCCAGGCACAGACCTCGTCAGAGAACGGCCACAGCCGGGGCCTAAGCTCCAAACCAATAAACAAACTCAATCCACAAAATCTCAAACGCATAAAGAACTCTTAAACGCATCTTGTCTCTTGTAGTCTCTCCAGGTTGAAACTGAAGAAGAGGAGGCCACGGTTTGATCCCACGGTAACGAGAGGAAAAGATGGCACACGCAAATATGAAGGAAGCCATATTAATGGAGAAGAGCCCTGTTCATTTGTTAAGTGAGAATGAGTTTGGGGAGTGAGTGAGTGAGTGAGTGGTTGGTGGTTATAAACGGGTTTAACATTTCTGATACATTTCTGTAAGGTTTCTGGTAAATTTCCATGGAAAGTTGAGATCCTATGCCCTTCTCCCTTCAAAACATCCAACATTAAACATGCTTGTATAGTATCTAATGTATCAGCTCCAGTATATACTGTATGAATATGTTTGTGTGTGGTATTTTAAATATGAACAGTTTATCAATATATTTCCATATAATGTTATCTGTGTTTAGATAGATGGATGGACAGACAGAGGCAGACAGACAGTCAGACAGACAGACAGACAGACAGACAGACAGACAGACAGACAGACAGACAGACAGACAGACAGAGAGACAGAGAGAGACAGCGACAATGCAATGTAAAACTTTAAAACATTTTACAGCTTAATTTTTTTCCACTATGCTTGTCATTTTTTCATTGCATTTCCAGACTTATGCAGTTTGTTATCTTGTATAATATAAAAAAAAAATAGGTTTAACTATATAATCCAGGTTTATTTAGAGTAAATATGTTTTCTTCATGATGATTGATGTATATCATTCATCATAAATAATGACTACAATACAACAAAATACTTTTGAGAGGATTAGTTGATAAAAGTAGAATATGGGTAGATAGTTTTTTTGTTTAAAAAATAATAGATAAAGTAATAATATTTTTTCAGATGGAAGAGAAAATACAGCATTGAGGATGTTGTGAAGATGATTATCAATAGGCATTCATGTGACATGAAGGAATACATTTTTATAAAAATATTTAAAAAAAATAATCTGATAGAAAACACTATGGTATGTGGATGGTTCTGTTCATACTGGCCAACAAACACCCAATGTATCAAAAGTGAAACAAATCAATAGTCTAATCTTATCTCACCAGTCTTCAAATATGAGAATGTTCTGGCAATTCTTTCATGGACCAGGCTTTATAGGGTTAAAACAAATTAATTCAAAAGTGAATAAAAACATAATTCTAAAAGTCATTAATAACAGGTATAATGTTTAAGACAGATCTGTTCAGTCTTGAAGCTGAAGGATCAAAGGAGCAGAATGTGGGAGATCTGCGCTGACACAAACAAAGGGGAGGTTTTGTGTGACTCCGAGCAGGAATGTGGGGTATCTATATTTGGATGAAATCAAACTTGTAATGTTGTTTTCTGAAGCAGGAAACAAAACTGAAAGACCTTCGGGAAGTTTTTGTGCTAGTTTAAAAATCAGATCATCTCAAGAGTGTGGTCCTTAAATCTGCAAAAACTAAAGTTGATTTTTCATGAATGCCACAGATGCCACAGTGGGGCTGCTGCGGCTGTAAAGTGCCAAACTGTTGTGGTGTCCTTAGGCAGGACACTTCACCCACGTTAGAATGAGTCTGTGTGTGCTTGTGATTGGAGATGCCTCGCTTCTGTCAGTATGGAGTGAATGAACGACGTGTGTTTGAGTGATAATAATATTCTTTCACTCCATACACGGTGGTGATAAACTACAACTTTAGTCAGAGCTGCCCTGGGGCACACTGACAGAAGCCAGGCCCCCAGTCTGTGCCATCTACCCCTCCTCCCACCAACCATTCACACACACACCAGACTCATTCTAGACAATATGGGTGAAGTGTCTTGCCTAAAGACACAGAGACAGATTGGCACTTTACAGCCACAGCCGTCCCACTGTGGCACCTGGTGTGTTCCCAGAGGTCTCCCTTCACAGTACTAATCAGGCCTTGTCCTGCTTAGCTTCAGGATCTGGCTTTTACCTGCAGGTATGCCCTCCCCCCCAAAAAGTGCTATATAAAACCAATGCTTGATTATTATTACTATTATTATTGATTACTAGTTGTCTTCAGAATCCACAAATACTGTAAATATTATGTAATAATTCTTCTAAATTTCAACATATATTCACTTTTCACACAAACACAAAAAGCTCCTGATATTTGGAATCGCTGAGAGAAAGTTTGTGCAGAATAAGGACTGGGGCTAAAGCAGCAGAGATCAGAGGTAAGTGCTGAAGTTCTACTGCTACAAACTGATTTCACTTCTTACCTTGACCTCGCCGTAAGCCAGAGACGTCTGAGCCTTTTACCCTCATTATAGTAAATTAGTAAGTAATCTTTATTTATGTAGCGCGTTATTGGTTATTGGCTCTTTTGCCTCAAAAAAAATACGCAATCAGCAGCTGTTAAGTTTCTCCCTGAAGTCACGATCCATTAGACATCAGCCGCTGTTATTTTCCGGGACCACGGACAGCTCCTGGACACACAGCTCCACAGACACAAAGATATGGTGTAAAAGTGGCAGAATGGGAAAAAAGAGAGAAAATTGATCTCTTTTTGTAAATTCATATTAAAGAGATGTCCAGGACTCCCTTAAAAAAAATGGTTCTAAATCTCAGTGGGACTTCTCTTATTAAATAAAGGTTAAATAAGAAATAGAGAATTGACAGGACTGGTGGGACCATAAGCCTTGTTACCAGCCACAAATCTGCTCTGGTTTGCTTAAAAATGCCACAGAATAATGAATCTGACCCATAATTGTTTGCACAGTTGGTAAAAGTTGCTAAATCGTGCTGATCGAGGTCTTTGCTCAGATCCTACTCTGGCTTTTATGTATTTTCTTTAATGATGAGACGTCTGTGACCTAAATTCTCCCATCACCACAATTCACACTGCATTTAAAAAGCCTTCACACTCTCTCGCTCTAGCTCATACACACACACACACACACACACACATGTACGCACACACACATGTACGCAGACACACACACACTGGCTCTTTATATTTCAGATACAGAGCATGTAATCTATAATCTATAAGGCGTTCAGATGTGGCGCTCTGGGATGGCTTCACCCAGAGCACGTGTTGCGTCTTTAATTGCCCGTCCCTCCTGTCCCTCCCCTCTTTCTCACTTGAATGTACGAGAGAGGAGAGAGGGGTGGGGGGGAGAGAGATGAAAGAGAGTATGAGAGAGTCAGAAAGGGAAAGGGAGACCAGAGAGAGAAAGAGAGAGAGAGTTTGAGCAAGTCAGAAAGGGAAACCAGAGAGACCAGAAAGACAAGAAAGACAAGAGAGACCATTGCGAGATACAAGAGAGACCAGAGGGAGAGAGGGACCAGGCGGAGAGACCACAGAGAGGGAGACCAGAAAGATCATTAAGATCAGAGAGAGAGAGAGAGAGAGAGAGAGAGAGAGAGATAGAGATAGAGACGAGAAAGAGAGAGCAGGGACCAGAAAGAGAAATAGCGGAAAGAGAGAGAGAAAGAATAAAGAACACAGAGAGTAAGAGATACACCAGAGAGAGAGGGAGAGTGAGAGAGACCAGAAAGAGGATAGATAGATAGATAGACCAGAGAGAAAGAGAAAGAGAGAGAGAGAGAACCGCGAGAGACAGGTAGAGACCAGAAATAAGGAGAGAGAGAGATCAGGGAGAGAGATTGATAGATAGACTAGATAGAGCCCAGAGGTAGAGAGAGAGAGTTAGAGAGACGCGTCCCCTGCTCTCTCTCCGCTCCTCCCTCACCCACACGCGGCACATCCTCAGCCTAACTCCGGGAAAAGCCGTGTGTTGTTGTGGTCAATAGTCGCTGGGAGTTTCCTCTCGCCTTGTCTCCTAAATGACTAATGCTCTCAGTCAAGCCGGACACCAGCAGCTCCACTACCATCAACACCTCCGCCTTTTTGCTCTTCTTCTCCTTCTTCTTCTTCTTGGCTACTGCTCATATCTGTGTTGATTCGACACAGAAACAACTCACAAGCGGCTGATTTATGCTTTATATAAGGCGAGAAGGAGCGGATCTTTTGGGGGGAGCCAGACCCGTGGGCGGCTGGGTAAAAACGGCGTCAGTCTGGGAGAGGGTGAGCGGATTTCTAACCACTCCAACCCAAAAATAACAAGAGAAGAAGGAGAGGAAGAAGAAGAAGAAGAGGAGGAGAATGAGGAGATGGCATGGCGTTTTTTGGAGTATAAGTGAGGTGTGAGAGACGCTTGGATCTGTGTTTATTTTTATACATATTTATGGACATCCTCTCTTGCTTTTTCTCCCCCGCTTGGATCACTCTCTCTATGTCTAACCAGTTGATTATTGTGAGGGCGAAGTCTGTTCCAAAAGTGAGAAACATCTGTGACTGAGAGGACTTGCAGATAGACGCGCGCCTGGACTGAATGAGTCCGTCTCCAGCCACAGCCCTGCAGCTCAGCACCGTGCGAGGACCGGCCGAACTGCGCCTCCGGACCCGTGAAGCATCCAAGTAACAGCGGAGGAGGAGGAGGAGGAGGAGGAGGAGGAGAGAGCGGACCTTTTTTTCCACCGCAGCCAGGTAACGCAATGCAACCGCTGCACCTGTTGTGTTTGTGTGTGTGTGTGTGTGTGTGTGTTTGCGCGCGCGCGCGTATATGATGGTAGGACTGCACATGTGTGTCCATAGCTGTCATTATTATAGGCTTGTCTGGGAGCTGTCACCTCGGATAAAGACATGTTTGTGGATCCATTTGGATGCGCGGTGTAGTTCAGAGAGAGAGAGAGAGAGACCAGAGAGAGAGAGAGAGAGCTAAGAGTGCAGTGTGTGTGCAGTGTGTGTGTGCAGTGTGTGTGTGCAGTGTGTGTGCAGTGTGTGTGTGCAGTGTGTGTGTACAGTGTGTGTGTGCAGTGTGTGTGTACAGTGTGTGTGTGCAGTGTGTGTGTACAGTGTGTGTGTGCAGTGTGTGTGTGCAGTGTGTGTGTGCAGTGTGTGTGGGTGATGTGACCTCCCAGCAGGAGGTCTGGTCCTCTGTCATCATATCACCGCTGATGATGATATATATATATATAGATTGCATGTACTGTATGTATATATATATATATATATATATATATATATATATATACACATATATATATATACACATATATATATATATATACATACAGTACATGCAATCTTCAAAAGAGACTGGAGAAGCTTGTGGTTCTGGTTCTGTACTGGTAATGTGGATTGACAGGTGGAGCATAGATGGTATACAAATGGAACAGATCATATACAGGTGGAAAATGAAATGGTGTTCTCTGTTTATGTTGTGGAAAGACTAGAGCAAGACCAGAGGCCAGAGAGACCAGAGAGTGACCAGAGAGAGAGACCAGAGAGAGACCAGAAAGATCAGAGAGACAGAGAGATCAGAGAGAGACCACAGAGAGAGACCAGAGAGAGACCAGAGAGAGGGACCAGAGAGAGGGACCAGAGAGAGGGACCAGAGAGAGACCAGAAAGATCAGAGAGTGGCCAGAGAGAGAGACCAGAGAGAGATCAGAGAGACAGAGAGATCAGAGAGACCAGAGAGAGACCAGAGAGAGACCACAGAGAGAGACCAGAGAGAGACCAGAGAGAGACCACAGAGAGAGACCAGAGAGAGACCAGAGAGGGAGACTAGAGAGAGACCAGAGAGGGACCAGAGAGAGACCAGAGAGGGAGACTAGAGAGAGACCAGAGAGAGACCAGAGAGAGACCAGAGAGAGACCAGAGAGAGACCAGAGAGAGACCAGAGAGAGAGACCAGAGAGGGAGACTAGAGAGAGACCAGAGAGAGACCAGAGAGAGAGACTAGAGAGAGAGACCAGAGAGAGACCAGAGAGAGACCAGAGAGAGAGACCAGAGAGGGAGACTAGAGAGAGACCAGAGAGAGACCAGAGAGAGAGACCAGAGAGAGAGACCAGAGAGGGAGACTAGAGAGAGACCAGAGAGAGACCAGAGAGAGAGACCAGAGAGAGACCAGAGAGAGAGACCAGAGAGAGACCAGAGAGAGAGACCAGAGAGGGAGACTAGAGAGAGACCAGAGAGAGACCAGAGAGAGAGACCAGAGAGGGAGACTAGAGAGAGACCAGAGAGAGACCAGAGAGAGGGACCAGATAGAGCAGAGGTTATGTCGTGGCGTTCACTTATACGTAACAAATAAATCAAAATAACTGAGTCCGAACACTTTGACCTTGAGCTTGAAAACACGCCTCTTCTTCGATAAATGATGAATCCGTCTCACTTTGACCTTGGCGTTCGCTGTTGTCCTACGACTTTATGTTTACGCGCTTTACTCAATATATACAAACTATATCTTTAAATCTTTAAAGACCGGAGAGACCACACACTAGAGAGAGTGAGACCAGAGAGACTTTTGAGACCAGAGAGAGACCAGAAAGAAGGAGACCAGTGAGACCAGAAAGAGACCACAGAAAGACCACAGACCAGAGAGAGGCAGACCAGAGAAACCAAAAGCCGTCAATGGTAAATCCCACAGAGACACTGAGATCTCATTTCTGTGTGATTTCTTCTGCAAAGATGAATCAACAACTCTTGGACAAAAGTTGGAATAAAACATAAAAAGTTAAAAAGTTTCTCACTGATTTAATGACAACAGTTCCAGGTCGTTCAGGAGGCTGTCTGCACGAGCCGTTTCATTCATTTGGTGAAATTGAAAGTAGGAGAATCAGATTTCTCTTGTTGCTCCTTGTAAATACATCATGTTTCCTCAGACGATGAGTGATATTCAGAGTAAACTAAAGACTCGTTCATTCTTTCTATATTTTCAACAGACTTTTTAATATCTGGGTGATCGATATTTAGTCTCACAGTGAGTGGTCGAGGTCAAATGTATTCATAAAGAACATATAAAGACAGTCAGAGGCGACCAAAGTGCTGTACAGAAGTAAAAGAAGAGTGAAATGAGGAGAAAATAAAACTTAAAAAACAAATCCTAAACTAGACACAGGAACCAGGAAAAGAATCATAAAACAAAAACTACATAGATACATTTAATATTCTATTGTATTGTGTGTAAAAACATATAGACACAGAGACACTCAAGAGTGCAACAGGACAGGAAGAAAAAATGAAATAAGAAATAAAATAATAAAAAAACACAAGAGAAGTAATGCCAAAAAACTGCAAAAGGAGATAAAACATGAGGTAATATTTTCTCAAATCAAGTGTTTTTGCCTTAATCTGAGCACATTGTGGCTTTCTATGAACAAGATTCTCCAACTGTTGCAGTATTTTCTCGTTCCAAGAGAGACATTTCTTGTGTCTTTTTAAAACAAGATCATTTTTGCTTCGTCCCGTTGGAAAATCTTGTTTTAAAGCAGTCAGAATGTGCTCAAAGGAAAATATATTTTGCAAAATTCGAGCCATTTTTGACCTATTTTTCACCACTTTTTGCAGTGAATTGTCAAATCACAAAAATCCACTTCATGAACTTTCCCCAAAAAGCAGCATAAACAGAAGCATCAACTCAAACTCTCCTGAATCATGTCTGAACTGTTACACCAACCACCTCCAATTGACACAAGCAGTTTGGTCCAGTCTGATCCAGTTAGGTTCCTGATAGACGGATACTTTATTGATCCTGAAGTGTCCATTAGCAGCAAAAATAAAAAATAAAATTGATTCTAAAAAGCTAACAATAGTAATAATCAGCAACAGGCCTTCAGGTCACAGCAGCAGAGGTGGAGAAGTCTCTGTGGGCGGCACGTGGCTGAGTGGATAGCACTCTCACCTCTCAGCAAGAATTTTGCATGTTCTCCCCGTGTCTGCGTAGGTTTCCTCCGGGTACTCCGGTTTCCCCTACCACTAAAAACATGCAAAATAGTTCTGGCATGCGCCTCCTGTACTGGCCCCGCTCCCATCTCTGTGTGGAGTGAGAGACAAATGCCCAAAAAATAACAATTGTAAACCGCTTTGTGACTCTGGTCTGTGAAAGGTATATAAATAAAGATTACTGACTTACTTTCTGAGTTGAGTTTGCATGTTCTCTCCATGTCTGTGTAGGTTTCCTCCGGGTGCTCCAGTTTCCCCTACCACTAAAAACATGCACAATAGGTATGAATGTAGATGAGAGAGTGAATGGATGGTGTTGATTGGAGCTGATGCTCAGTGTGTTCGGCGACTCACTTCCGTCATTTCCGTGTGTGGAATGAATGGAACAATATCTGAACTCTGAACATTGTAAAGCGCTTTGGGTATAATGCGCTATATAAATAAACATTACTACTACTTCTACTTACTACCTCTGGGTGGAGCAGGATGGGTCACAGCAGCAGAGGTGGAGTAGCCGCTTGGTTCGGAGCATTTTCTCTGCTCTGGTCCAAAGTAAAATGCTGAATGGTTCATGAACATTTTTCAATTAGTCAGCATTCCTTCAATGGATTTTCATCTGATCCACTTGTTTCGGACCATGAACCCTCTCTGCTCTGGTCTGGACCAGTGTAAAACCATGAACAATGTACTGCAGCAACAAATCAGGCAGAAAAAAGCAAGAAAAACAAACTATATAAAGCACAAAACAATGACAAAACAACTCAGGACCTTTTTTTCCAGTGCATTCAAAAGTAAACGTAATTGCAGTAAAACCACAGTAGAATAGATGTGCAAAAGTCCCCAGTGTGACCCAGACACAAACATGAATAAAAACAAGCTAAAAGTGGAAGGAACAATGGTTTATTGTCCATTGTCCATTGTCCATTTATTGTCCCTATCAAATAAATAAATAAATAAATAATAAATAAGGAACAATGGTTAGAATATAACATTTTTACAACATTTTCTTTCTAAAAATCTCATAATTAAAAGGAAATGAGAAGCAACCAAAGTGCTGCAGAGGCAAGAACTACAGTTGAGCGGAAATACCATGAAAAATACAGTTGTTTTTTGCAGATGCAGCAGAGTCTGAGGACATTTATTAACATTTATTAACATTTATGGACATTGGTCTAACCCTCGCTATGGACCAATGGCTCCTCTGTGTTTGTTATTGTTGTATTTCCTGGGTTTCGAACTTTGCCTTTTGTGTTATTCTCACCAAGTTGATCTGATTGACAGCAACAGTGTAGTTTAGTTTATCAGCATTTATGTCTTTTGCCTCTGTGTGTTTTTATCATTTCATTTCTTGTGTTTGTGTTGGAACAAAGTGCTGTAAACCGACAGGATTAGACACCATTAAAAACAGATTTCTTGCTGATGCAGGAGAGTCAAGGACATTTATGAAGAATTACAGACAGAGCTCTCACTCTCATTTGGACCAATGGCTTCTTTGTGTGTTTGTTAAAACTGTATTTCCTGTTTTCAAACCAGACGCAGAGTCGTTTCCACAATTTAGACCTTATTTATATCATTTATATAATTTATATCATTTATGTCATTTATATCATTTATATAATTTATATCATTTATGTCATCATTTATATCATTTATATCATTTATATCATTTATATCAGCAGAAAAGGAAAGAAAAGCTCAAATCTCAAGTCATTTCTTTTGAATATTCTCATATTTACAATGAAACTCTCTGGTCTCTCTCTAATTTCTCTTTCTGCACTCCCTCTCCTCACTCCTCTCTCTCTCTCTGTCCTCTCTCTGCTCTCTCTCCTCTCTCTGCTCTCTCTTCTCTTTCTCTCTGGTCTGTCTCTCCTCTCTCTCTCTCCTTTCTCTCTCCTCTCTCTCTCCTCTTTCTGGTCTCTCTCTCTCATCTCTCCTCTCTCTCTGCTCTCTCTTTGCTCTCTCTCTCCTCTCTCTTCTCTCTCTCTCTCTGTCCTCTCTCTGCTCTCTCTGCTCCCTCTCCCCTCCCTCTCCTCTCTCTCCTCTCTCTCTCTGGTCTCTCTCTCCTCTCTCTCCTCTCTCTCTCTCTCTCTCCTCTCGCTCTGGTCTCTCTCTCCTCTCTCTGTGGGAGGCTCAGGCACATGCTGGAGCTGCTGAGGGGCCTCTTCACTTCACTGGGGGCAGAGTTTAATGCTCAGGTGTTTGTGGGGGGGTCAGGTACTCCAGCCGCAGCAGGAGGAGGGGGCGGCTGCTCAGTTTCCTGGTCGGTCAGGCCAAGATGGCCGTCTATGTGAGCAGGAGGAGGATGGTCCAGGACCAGGGCGAGATCAGTCCCAGGGCTCTGCTGGTCCGGATGGTCCAGGCCAGACTCAGGCTGGAGTTCGGTCTCTACAGGATAAATGGGGATCAGGAGGGGTTTGAGGAGCGCTGGGGGTTCAGGGAGGTGTGCTCTGTGAGGGACGGGGAGCTGTTTTTTTCTGCCTTTTTATTGTTGTAAACCTATGAATTGAAGTGTGTGAAGTGTTGCATTGTTTATTTATTGCCAGTATTTGCACTTATTGCACTTTTATGTCCGGATTTTTAAACTGTCTTTGTTCTATACATTACTTTGTGTGACATGTGATGTTATTTGGCCTGTTTAATGGACAAATAAAGGTCTGTTAAAAATCAAAAATCTCCTCTCTCTCCTTTCTCTCTCTCTCCCTTCTCTCTCCTCTCTCTTCTCTCTCTCTCTGGTCTCTCTCCTCTCTCTCTCTGGTCTCTCTCTCCTTTCTCTCTGGTCTCTCTCCTCTCTCTCTCTCTGGTCTCTCTCTCCTTTCTCTCTGGTCTCTCTCCTCTCTCTCTCTCATCTCTCTCTCTCTCTCCCTTCTCTCTCCTCTCTCTTCTCTCTCTCTGGTCTCTCTCTCCTCTCTCTCTGGTCTCTCTCTCCCCTCTCTCTCCTCCCTCTCCTCTCTCTCTCTGGTCTCTCTCTCTGGTCTCTCTCTCCTCTCTCTGGTCTCTCCATGCATACACTCAGACAGACACAGTCCGAGTCTCATGTGATCACCGAGCTTTTGGCCACAGATGATTCATGTCGCAGCAACAGATGGCAAAAGCGGAAACCGGCAACGACAGCTTGCATGCATAACTCACAAACCACACTTTCAACTGCCATTAATCCTGCAAACTTTTAACCCAGAAATATCAACTTTTAACCCAAAACGCAACAGCAATCCATAAAATACCTCTCCTCTTCTCTCCCTTCTGTCCGCTGCAGCAGGGGACATATTGCTGATGATAAATGGGCTCTGGACCAGTTTCAAGCCTCGATTGTGTCAAAACGCACGTTGCCAGATGCTCCGAAAGTTCACACACACACACACGCACACACACACACACACACACACACACATACACACAGACGCACACACCCAGCCTTGCTCCAAGCCTTCACACTCCGTCCGGGAGCAAGGCAGCAGCAGTACAACTAGACCGGGATGTGTTTATGAGCTCGGGAGAAGCGGGAGACTACAGCTGATTTCTTCTCTCTCTTTCTCTCTTTCTCTTTCTCTTTCTCTGTCTCCTTCTCCTCTCGTCTGCAGACTTCATGGGTGGGCTCTTCTTCTTCCCCCCTTCGAACGCCAGCTCCCACTAAACACAATCTTTGAGTAGTTGTTGTTTGTCCCGGGAGCCGTCTGCTTTTTTCTACCCCCCAGGTTTTTTCTTTTTTTTTCTTTTCTCTCCAAGGTGTATTTGTTGTAGACCGGACTCGACCTCTATATTATTATCATGGATGTCCTGGAGGAGTTGTTCTTGGAGTCCAGATGCAAGGGGTAAGACAAGTGTGAATGAATGAAAGAATGGATGGATCGGAGGAAGAGAGAAAGGGAGAGGGAGGGAACGGCCGGATCGTCCAAGGTGACAGAGGCAATGTCGCTGCGTCTGGGCTCGTAAAGAGAAAAAAAAAAACCACGCTAACAACACGTATGGACGCCCGCAGCTGGGTTGGATGTGGAGACTTTTTTTGAGAGATTGCGGCGTTCTGTGGGGATTGTGTGCGTTCATGTGGGGAATGACAAGCGACCTCACGCTGCGATGGAAGAGGGATTTGGGGTCTTCCAGTTTAAATGGGATGTACAGGACAGGTTACAAGGGGACGGTGGTCTCGTCTGTAACTTTGGATCAACCTTCCTCCCCCCTATCAGAAAACTGCCATTGATTATAATGATAATGATGAGAGAAACTGGCTTAGATTATGATAAATTATGGGGGATTTTTTTGTTCAAATGTGAAGTACAGGACAGGTTAGAGGGGGGTTGTGTGTCTAGTCTGTATCTTTGGATCAACCTTCTTCCCTCTTTCAAAAAAACTGCCATTGATGATAATAATATTAATAATAACAATGTATTTGAGAGAAACAGGCAGAATATTTGGTGATTAATCCGTGATCTTTGATTCGCAAACTTCACACACTGTAATGGCTTCAAGGTGTTTGTCTGTTCTGTGCAACTTTGGCTCAACCTCTTTCCCCTTTTTTCCGTATTTTACTCATAACTTAGTGTGTTTTCTGTGTATTCCACATCTGTCTCTCTGTTATGTTTTTAACTTATTTTTTTCTTTACTGTACTTGTTATAATCTAGGGATCTTGCAAATTCGCTTTTGGCTTTTGGCATTTAGCTTTTGGCACCATGATGCCCTCTGTGTCTGTCGCTACTCAAATAAACCAAATCAAACCTCTCTCTAGTCTGGTCTTTCTCTGGTCTCTCTTTGGTGTCTCTCTAGTTTCTCTCTAGTCTCTCTCTGGTCTCTCTCTGGTCTCTCTCTGGTCTCTCTCTCCGGTCTCTCTCTGGTCTCTCTTGTCTCTCTCTAGTCTCTCTCTGGTCTCTCTAGTCTCTCTCTCTGGTCTCTCTTCGGTATCTTTCTGGTCTTTCTCTGGTCTCTGGTCTCTCTCTAGTTGCTCTCTGGTCTCTCTAGTCTCTCTCTGGTCTCCATGGTCCCTCTAGTCTCTCTGTGGTCTCTCTCCGGTCTCTCTCTGGTCTCTCTAGTCTCTCTCTGGTCTTTCTCTGGTCTCTCTAGTCTCTCTCTAGTCTCTCTCTGGTCTCTCTTTGGTCTCCCAGGTCTCTCTCTGGTCTCTCTGGTCTCTTTCTGGTCTTTCTCTGGTCTCTGGTCTCTCTCTAGTCTCTCTCTGGTCTCTCTAGTCTCTCTCTAGACTCTCACTGGTCTCTCTCTGGTCTCTTTCTTGTCTCTCTCTGGTCCCTCTAGTCTCACCCTCTTCTCTCTCTAGTCGCTCCCTGGTCTCTTTCTAGTCCCTCCCTGGTCTCTTTATAGTCCCTCTCTGGTCTCTTTCTAGTCCCTCTCTGGTTTTTCTCTGGCCTCTCTCTGGTCTCTCTGTTATAGTAAAACTAATATTCCCTCTGAGAGAAAAAGAACCTGTTTGAGGCCAGGCTTGGATTGTGCTGAATCCTCAGCGTTTGTATATTTGGATGAAGAAGTGATGCTGAAAACCTGTTTGATTTGAGTTTAAACGTTTGTCTGTGTTGGGGGCTGAGCGAGCGACAAACACATAATTACGGTGATTACAAATGAGATGTAGGCTTTGACTGTTGGATTGAGCTCAAAGTTAAAGGCGTTTACAACATTTGTCGTCTCTGCTTTCATGTTTCCACAGCTGGACTCAAAAACCTACCTTTGGAAATCAACTTTTTCATTGCAATATTTCAAATCTATTTCAATTCCTGTGGTGTTTTACATGGCGCCTTTAAAACCAAATTATTAGCATCATTTTTTAAACTTGGCCCAGACCAGAGAGAGACCAGAGAAAGACCAGAGAGACCGGAGAGAGACCGGAGAGAGACCGGAGAGAGACCGGAGAGAGACCAGAGAGAGACCGGAGAGAGACCAGAGAGAGACCGGAGAGAGACCAGAGAGAGCAGAGAGAGACCGGAGAGAGAACAGAGAGAGATCAGAGACCAGAGAGAGGCCAGAGAGAGACCAGAGAGAGACCAGAGAGAACAGAGAGAGACCGGAGAGAGACCAGAGAGAGACCAGAGAGACCAGAGAGAGACCGGAGAGAGACCAGAGAGAGACCAGAGAGACCAGAGAGAGACCGGAGAGAGAACAGAGAGAGATCAGAGAGAAACCAGAGAGAGACCAGAGAGAGACCGGAGAGAGACCGGAGAAAGACCAGAGAAAGACCAGAGAAAGACAAGAGAGAGACCAGAGAGACCGGAGAGAGAGCAGAGAGAGACCAGAGAGAGACCAAAGAGAGACTGGAGAGAGACCAGGGAGAGACCAGAGATACGTAGACCAGAGAGAGCGAAAAGAGAGAGAACAGAGAGAAACCAGAGAGCGACCAGAGACACCAGAGAGACAAAAGCGAGACCACAGAGACCACAGAGACCAGAGAGAGAGAGACCCCCATGCTGTAAAAAGCAGCCCGATGTCTATAGATCTACTTGGACTGACTTCACATCATTTGCATTGTCTGTTTTTGTATTCCTATTCTTTTAAAAAATGAAAACAATACACCAAAAGATTTAGACTATATGAAACATGATTCCACAGATCTCAGGTCTTAGAGTTCAGTCACAACAGCGAGAGGCAGCGACACAGACCCACACAGGGCTGTCCTAGTGCTGTCCTATAAAGTAAACGTCTTGTCATGTTTGTCGTTTGGGAGAGGAAATGTTAAAGATGAAGTGAAAGTGAGTGGAGCTGTCCGTGGTGCTAATGCGTGTGTCTCTGTGGGGACAGAGGGAGGTGAGGAAGCAACAGTCACAGTTTGTGGTGTGAGGGCAGCAGTATTCTGACAGGCACAGAAGCAGGGCACAGGAACCCAACGCTAGAACCACTCTCTTCAAAGCACTTTTAATGATTTTTATGTATTTTATTGTCATTTTTGATTATGTTTTTATCTTTGAACTCTATCCTATGTTTGTATATTTCCTTTAGGGTCAATAAAGTATATATTTATCTATCTAAGTTCCAGAAAAAAAATTGTGATGTCGCTATCTCTCGACAAAATTGGACCTGGAGTTTTTCTAGTTGTAGATCTAAAAGTATGTGTCACGATTTTAAGGATGGCTTCTAGATTTTGTGTGTGGGATTCTGAAATGGTGCCTTCCCATGTTTAGTCCTGACTCTGGGCACTAGCAGGAGGCCAGAGTCAGGTTCTTTGGTCTCGCTCTGGTCTCTCTGGTCTCTCTCTGGTCTCTCTCTGGTCTCTCTGTGGCCGCTCTAGTCTCTCTCTGGTCCCTGTGCTCCTGAGAGTTAGTGCATATGGTACTAACATGTCACAAATATATTTTGGTGCGAGGTCATGGAGAGACTTGTACACAAGCAGAGCTGTTTTAAAGTCTATTCTCTGAGCCACAGGAAGCCACTGCAGAGACCTGAGAACTGGACTAATGTGGTCGTACTTCCTGGTTCTAGTCAGGACTCGAGCTGCTGCATTTTGAATGTACTGCAGCTGTTTTACAGCCTGTTTGGACAGACCTGTGAGCAGGCCATTGCAGTAGTCTAACCTACTGGCTTACAATCCTCAGTCTCTCTCTCTCTGTCTCTTTCTCCTTCTCTCTGTCTGTCTGTCTCTGTCACTCTCTCTGCCTCTGTCTCTCTCTCTCTCGCTCTCTCTCTTTCACTCTCTATCGCTGTCTCTCTCTTTCTCTTTCTCTTTCTATCCCCGCCTGTCTCTCTCTATCTTTCTCTCTCTGTCTCTCTCTTTCTCTCTCTATCTCTGCCTCTGTCTCTCTCTCTCTCTCTCTCTCTCTCTCAGTCCGTCTTTGTGCTCTGTAATATCAATAAATAATTAAAGCAAGTAAAGGCAAGTTTATTTATATAGCACCGGCCATACACGTGGCTACGTAAAGTGCTGAACAAAACAAGGCAATAAAATCATAAATAGTCACTGTATATTAAGAAGAGAAAAGATAAAATGGGAAAAGGGGAGGAGCATTAGTATCTTGAATGTACAAGATACTATACATGACCTGAATATTAGTTAATAACTCTAAAAATGACTTTGAGTTTGGAAATTCATCAGTTACAACCTGGTCAAAAGCTGCAGAGATTGCTCGTCTCTTGTCACTATGGTCAGTTATCGATTTATAGAAGAGGATTTTTAACTTACACTTGGCTTTCACTATTCCTTAATTTGATTTGAAGTATTTTTGTATGGCCCTAAATCACAACAGCAGTTGTCTCAGCGGACTGAGAGACCAGAGAGAGACCAGAGAGAGACCAGAGAGAGAGAGACTAGAGGGAGACCAGAGAATAACCAGAGAGAGATCAGAGAAAGAGACTAGAGAGAGACCAGAGAAAGAGACTAGAGAGAGCCCAGAGAAAGAGACCAGAGAGAGACAAGAGAGAGATCAGAGAGAGAGATTAAAGAGAGAGACCAGACAGAGACCAGAGAGAGACCAGAGAGAGAGACCAGAGGGAGAGACCAGTGGGAGAGACCAGTGGGAGACCAGAGAGAGAGACCAGAGGGAGAGACCAGTGGGAGACCAGAGAGAGAGACCAGAGAGACCAGAGAGACTAAACAGAGGCTAGAGAGAGAGACCAGAGAGACCAGAGAGAGACCAGAGAGAGATCAGAGAAATGGACCAGAGAGAGACCAGAGATAGACCAGAGAGACCAGCGAGAGACCAGAGAGAGACCAGAGAGGGACCAGAAAGAGACCAGAGAGAGACCAGAGAGATACCAGAGAAAACCAAGAGAGACCATAGAGACCAAAAAAACCATTAAGACTAGAGAGAGATCAGAGAGAGCTCAGCACCATGGACAGCTCTAGGACCAGGACACACGAAAGCAAGTGGTGGAAATAACTAATTGAAATGGCTAATATGCCTGATGAATATATTTTTAAAAGCGTGACTTTTCAGCTTTGGTTCCAGCTGAGACCACAGACTCATCAGCTCATCCATCAGTATAAAAACACATTTGTGACTATTTGGTTTTTCAGACCTAATATTCCCTCTTCATTTGAGTGACCTTTCATATTTAATCGAGCGGTGGTGGATTGCCTCAGTATCTATCAATGTTAAAGAGGTTTTCAAGGACACTAAGATTTATACATTAAGTACCACCTAGGTACCCTCAAGGTCCCAGAACCGATTATCAATTATTATGATTAAACAAGCAGTATGTAAAAATCTGGCCAAAAGTGGTACTGCAACCTCTCCCACTCTCCCAAAGAAGTATTGGAAAAGAACATGTTTATTAATGCCTTCTGACAGATTAGGGCCCTTTAATGATGACTCGACATGAAAATCTTACATATTGTTACTTTAACTTGAAGCATTGATGCTAATATGGTTTTATTATGGCTGCCATCCTCATCATCATTATCATCATCAGCATTTTTATTTCTGGCAAAGGCACAAAGAAGTAGAAGGTAGACAGATTACAGTAAAGTCATGTTAAAGCCATTTTTTTTAATTCAGAAAGACACCAGGCCAGACATTTGTTCCAAAAGTATTCAGATTATCTCCCAGCATTTTTTATTTTTTTCAAGTCAATTCAAAAATAAAATAAAAGAGGATTCTAAAAACCTCTAGAACCCAACAGACATTTAGACATAATTAAGTTAATACATAAGAAGGTCATACCTGTAAGCGGAAGACAGATCACATTAGACCACTGAAGCTGAGCAGGACAGGGCCTGGTTTACACTGCGATGGGAGACCTCTGGGAACACCAGGGGCGGCTGTAAAGTGCCAAACTGTGGTCGTGTCCTTAGGCAAGACACTTCACCCACATTGCTGAGAATGAGTTTGTGTGTAGAGAGGAGAGAGAGAGGGAGAGAGAGAGGGAGAGAGAGAGAGGGAGAGAGAGAGAGAGAGAGAGGGAGAGAGAGAGAGAGAGAGAGAAAGAGAGAGGGAGAGATAAAGAGAGAGGGAGAGAGAGAGAGAGAGAGAGAGATAAAGAGAGAGGGAGAGAAGGAGAGGGAAGTTCACTTTTAGTTCATACATTCTTATCATTTCACATATTACTCTATAGACCTATAGAATATTATTTCCTAAGACTATGTGAAATGTGAAACCAGATTCTGAAAGACTGGATTGTCTACTTTGATCAGCACAAATACGTTTGATTCTAGCTGTTTTTGTTGTGCTGTAATCCCCAGTCGAGTATAGGGTCTAAGAGAAATTCGTCAATGGCAGCCAATGAAACTTCAGAAACTCAGCCGGAGTCACAAACTGTTTTCATCCCAGTCACAGATTATGGAACAACATTAGAACTTGGAACGTATAAAATTGAGTTGAACAATTGTGAAAAGATTGAAACTAATCTGCGTTTATTCCAGAGTTACAACATTTCCGATACTTTTCTGCGTCTGAATGATCGATCACTTTTTATCGCCACGAGGACAATTTGTTTTACTCACAAAAGCACTGAACTCACAATTAAAAACCAGTCCGATCATGTCGTATATTGATTGTTTTCAGCCCGGAGCCTCTGCTTTATTACACCACTCTGAATCTCTTTTTCAGATAGATTATCCTCCGCTGTGAAAAGTGAATTCTTTGAACCCAGCAGGTGGTCATTCTACAGCCTCATTACAGCCAAACCCCAGACACCAGCGAGTCCAGGGTTTACATTGACCTGGAAACAAGATATATAGGTGTTTTACTGTGTTAGCCTGGCCTTACCACACCGTTGTACTCATTTCATTTTGTGCTAAGGTCTGGATTTGCTCCATTGAGCTCCGTTAACAGGTGGGAGGGGTTAACTCCTTTTGCAGATTGAAATTGGATCTGAGTTTGTGTGTAACGTGCCCGAGTGAGTGAGGCATTGAGCATTCAGCCTATAGCTTTAGTCATCTCCTTTGCCACTAACAGAGCCCGTGGGGAGTGGCGCCACAAAATCCTTGCAGGAATGACATTTGTTAAACATTCCTCTTGCTCCGGCTTCAATTTCTAGATAGAACCAGAACGGATTCCTTTACTTTCGTGTTCTTTGCCAAACTACAATTAGCAAAGTCGGCGCAAACTTTTGTGCGTCGCTGCCACATACCTACAACACCGCCTCCCGTGCTCGCTGATTGGTCGCAGGGGATTCAACTTATGTACAGTAATTCGCTTCTCGGCAAATAGGTCATGGGTTTGAATCCCGGACGGAACAGGGTCTTTCTTTTTGCATGTTCTCTCCATGTGTGCGTAGGTTTCCTCTGGGTGCTCTGGTTTCCCCTATACCACTAAACAACATGTACAATAGTTATCGGTGAATGAGAGTGTTTTTGTGAAAGACGAATGTGGAACGAGGGATGCAAATTAGCTCGCAAGGCTCATTAACATGCACTGTCCTAACCAAATTAAAAAAAGACAATATAGAATATATTGTTAACAGGTGCATGCCAACATGCACCTGTTCCCGGTGCATGTTGGCCTCCGCCAGGGCTGCCCTTTGTCACTGGTTCTGTTCACTGTATTCATGGACAGAATTTCTAGGCGCAGCCAGGGGCCGGAGGGGGTCCGGTTCGGGGACCACAGGATTTCATCTCTGCTGTTTGCAGACGATGTTGTCCTGTTGGCTCCAACGAACCAGGACCTACAACATGCACTGGGACGGTTTGCAGCCGAGTGCGAAGCGGCTGGGATGAGAATCAGCACCTCCAAATCTGAGGCCATGGTGCTCGACCGGAAAAAGGTGCCTTGCCCTCTGCAGGTGGGTGGAGAGGGCCTTCCTCAAGTGGAGGAGTTCAAGTATCTCGGGGTCTTGTTCACGAGTGAGGGAAGAATGGAGCGTGAGATTGACAGGCGGATCGGTGCAGCGTGCGCAGTGATGCGGTC